ACAGACCTATCAGCAACATCTGAAGGGAAGACCACACTTCAGACTCATCATTTTAACATTACGGGACTGTGCACTGAAGCACAGATAGAAAATATTGGCTAACTAACATCTAAGACATTTCAGAGCTAATTCTAAAATCTCCTTCTGCAAATATCTTTCTCGAAGGATCCTATGAAGTAGAATGTTCATCTCCCGCTAAAAAGGTGTATCCAGAAAGAAAGACAGTAATGCTCCAAAGCAAGTCTCTGACCCATCACTTTCCGTGCTGCAGCAATTTTTTAAAAAGCAGTTTAAAATGTTGCAAAGAGCTCCCCTTGCTGGTCTGCCTCCAAATTGTTAAGTCTTTAGTCCTGAAAATCTTTTTATATAAAATAAAGATGGGTAAAATATTATTTGTATTCCACAATTCCACATTAAAAAAAAAAAAAAATAAAAAGCTCCCCATCATATTTCTATCAGATACCCTATTTTTAAAATTTCTTATTAGTTGTTAAATCGTAACACCAAAGATAATGACTTGATTTAGGAAGAATTTATTCTTCCATCATTATGAACTTCGCCAATTTATTGAATCCTTAAGTTTGCAAAGTACATCTAAGGCTTGCCAAAGTCTAAATTACAAAACAGACATTGACACCCAGTTCTGAATACTAAGTAATACCTCATTTCGCAGTAACCATCACCAGCTTTAATGGGATCATTTGTGGGATAATCAGTAAGTCAGTGTGGGAAAAGGATCAGAATCTGCTGTGGAACTGGGACTGAAAAAGATTTATTACAAAATCTTACTGTTTCTTCAGTAAGGTTTCTATTGCCTGGTTGGGAGACCAAAATACACGTCTCAACCTGTGTTGGTTTATATGATTAAAGACTTGTTGATTTTATAGAGAGAGATATATACACAATATATATAAATAATATATAAAATACAAAAATTATATACGTAACATTTTTTATATATGGGTTTAGAGCCCTACTTTTGCAAGATCAACCTAGGGGCTGACTAAAATTGGACATTTTTATGATGTTTCAGCATGTCGTACCTTACTTACTTACAGCCAGTATTTGCTGTTTTTTGGCAGGCAGGCAGGCAGGCAGGCAGGCAGGCAGGCAAGAAAAAAGAATCCAAGATATGCTTTTCAACACACCCTGCAATCCTGGAAAGACTGTGAAATAGGATTTCTTAATGTACAACAGCACTTGGAGAAGCTTTTGTATAGCACCTCACACTAGTCATACAGCTCTCAGCACTGTGAGAAAAAACCCAAACTAGCACATTAAATTTCTAAACAAATAAACAAAACCACTCCATCAGTCTACATTCCAAATGGATTCAGATGCCTACCTTTTTATGAAACAACACTGGCAGTTTAGCTACAAATTCAAATCCACTCAATCTGGGTTCTCTCAAGTGAAATGGTGCAATCCCTGAAGCATTCTCTGTTTTCTTTCAAGAGTTTTCTTTCTTGAGGCCACATCTGTTCTCTCTATTGATTGTTACTTCCTCCTTTACTGCACTGGACAATTATTCTTCCTGGGCTAACCGCTGTACCAAGAAGAAGGAAAGGGGACTTACACATTTGTAACAGACTAAGAAATTCCTCTCTATATTGACTAACTCAGGGTAATCTTCATCATGTTGCCAGCTCCCACATTAAAACTACTATCTGAATTAGCTTATCCTACAATTTCTAAAAGTATCTAAGTATGTGACAGTATTTAGGCTTATTTGCTTTTGTGGTACTCTATGGTTGTATTACACAGCTTTCTTTGAAGATCGTTAATAAACAAAAGTAAAAATATAACCTTAGGCTTGAACAAAAAACCAAACAAAAAAAAACCCCAAACCCGAACAAAACCCAACAAATAATAAAATTTTCAATTAAAATTAGGTGCTATTGCTTTAACAGGAAGGTGCATTTTCAGTTTCCATCTGTCTCTTTCCATTTAACATAAATACTTTGCTTGCATCATTCAAATTCTCTTACCTGCTTTAGATCTCTCATCTTTCTGTCAAATATTACTCTTTAGCTTTTGCATTTGTGTTAATGAAAGCAGCATTTAGGAGCCTGTTCAGTTACAGTAACTACCCAAGAACATCTGTTTTTATAACACAAACAAGTGAACTTGAAAGCCTTTTTAGATCTAAGTTTAAGTTAAGTACCAAACAAGAAATTAAGTTAAAATAAGTGTCTGTTAGGTAATTATCCTACCATGCCTGTAGTCAAGATACTTGAACTTGGACTGAAAGCAAAAAGTGAAGCACCAGCTCAACCTTTAGCAGTGAAAGCCCATCAAGACAAAATCTGCTGCTTCAACAAAATGCCGTAAGAAGTCTGTCATTCAAGTTCTATTTTTTGCTGTTCAAGCAGGACCTGAGCAGAGTATATAGTCCCTGTGCCAGATAACAGCAAAAAAGTGAACTTATTAACTATGGATAAAATGTTAAATTAACACAGAATATTCCAAATACAGTGAAAGTTGGCATCCTCACCATATCAACTTTATTAGTTGATTAGTGATACATGTATATATTTAAACAGATCTCCTTAATCTTTTATTCTGAAATGCTTCCAACCTTTTAAAAAATGATACTCGTAATACAACGTTTCATTCCAAGCTCTGCTTGTCAATAATATTTCACACCTAAATGAAAGCCAGAGAAAACATTTAAAATCTGTGTAAAATGTGTAAAAAGTGTAAATGTTAACAATCTCAGAGTGTCTTGATATTTTTAAAGCTAGTATCCACTTTTCTCCCATCTGGGAAATATATATATATGTATTTTAAAAAGCATAAAGCATGTAAGTTCTAGTATTATATGCCTTTAAAAAAAACCTACGACCCCATAAGGTGATAACAATTTGCTTCTTTTATCTTTTGTTTATCCTTCCAGCTTAGAATCAGTTAGGCCTGGTTAGGTTGCAGGAAGGATCAAAGTCTAATTAAACACAATTAACAACCAGGAGAAAAAGACAAGAACTGCAAGAAACCTATTACAGATTTAAAAGGAAAATCACAATAGAAATGCAGCACTAGACATGCTAAAGAGAGGTAATTCTAACCAGGTAATTCATGCCCAGGCATAATTCTAACATGACTTTTCAAACACTGCCATTTGAAGAGAGAGGGAAGGATCACTTACCTTTCATCAAAATCTGGATGGAAAATAAAATAAGATTCCAAAGAAAGGCTAATAAATTGCATGAAGCTGTCATGCCATGTAAAGACTACTGATTATGTCTCAATTAAATAAGCATCAAATAATCTTCCATAAAATAACCGTTAAGTGGTCAATGTTAGACCAATTTCAAGAAAAAGGTAAGAAACTATACACCATTACTAAAAGATTTCAACTTTTTGTATCGAATGAAGATGTGTAGTTGGTTCTTGGTCTGTGTGACTGGGGAAGCTTCCACTTGTAAAAGGAAGAGATGAAACAACTTGGACCAAACCCAATTGTTCTATACAGTCAGAGGAAAGGGATACCAGAAGCTAAATTCCACAGGGCTACTTGCTCATCCCCATGAGCTTCAACATATGCAATTCTGCAGAACTTTGGATAGCTTTTTGATTAAGAACATCTAATGAAGCTTTCTCCTGAGGCTTCTCTGTTCTTGGGGAAAACACCCCATACCCACCCCCAAAAAAAAAAAAAACAAAAAAACAAAAAAAAAACCCCAACCAACAAACCAAAACCACAAACTAATCTGATATCTACTGAACAAAGTGAAAAAAGAAATGGTGTGAGAGTCAGTAAAAAACCCCTGTTCCTTATAAAAGCCTATTTACACTTGGTTTTCCTACAAAGATAAAAAACATGGCATCTATCTGATGTACATGAGCAGCCCTGAAAAGCAAGCTTCCATTTGAAGTAATATTGTAGAAGTCTTGTATCTGTAAATTATTAAAGATAGAATAACTTTGACTATTTTGAGTAGAAAGTAGGCTAAAGGAAAAGGTAACGTGTTATTCTTCTTGTTTCTGAAACCTGTATCTGCCATATTTGTAGACAGAAATCTTCATCGGTTTTACCATCATGCACTAGCTGACCTACTAAATAAGCCAGAGTCTGGGATAGTAAGTTATAAACACAGTGTAAAAAAACCAAAAAAACACCCACCAGAAAACCTATGAAAACATAAGGCATTTTCTTCCCAGTAAAGTGCAATAGGGGACAAAGACCTAAGCTGAATTAAAAAACCCACACACAACAAAAATCCAATACTGACAAAAACAAAAAAAAAAAGAAAAAAGAAAAAAAAAATCAAACCCAGCTTTTTTCACAGGTAGACCAAGCAAGTCTCTATTTCCCCTTCCTGACCACATAGGCTATTGTGACTAAGCATCAGCTTCAGCGTAAAAATAGAAGCAATTATATCTAAAGGATTGGTCTCCCATTCTCCCACTTATGTTATCCCTTTAATTTGCTACTGTTGATATGCAGGTAATCAGTTTAAAACTAAAATGTCATGATCTGGGTTAATGGATTTTTTTGTTTCTACCTCCTCATATGCCCCCCTCCCCTCCAAACTCCTAGAGTCCCACCACCACTCTCCAAACACAGACCACCACAGAAAGCATAGCCTCAGTAGAAGTAGGCAAGTAGCATGGGGCATTTGTAAAATGTTGGGGAGGTGGGGGGAACACAAACCAAGAAACAACAACAAAACAAACAAGCAACTCTCAGCAACTTTAATTTTGGTGTATAAACCCTACTAAGTTAAAGCAGTATCTGATTACGCCTTCAACTTATGGAGATGTTCCATCAAGAATAGAGTATAATTTAAAGAACGTCTGTTAAAGTATTTCAGTCACACTATAAGCAAATTTTATCAATTCCACAGGAATGTAACATGTCAGGGGAGTTCATACAGCATTCCAGTACAGAAATACTACTCTAATTTTTGGGTCATACCACCTTGCAAGATAAAAATCTTAATGGAAAAAACAGGGAGCATGCATCAAAAATTCTCCAAGCAAGTTCTCAAGTGTATCACTTTAAGGATTTTAATAAAGATGCTATGGTTTTTTCAAAATGAGAAATAAAATACAATTCAAGAGTATGTCTATGAAAATGATCTATTTTCCCGAGTTCCCATGTGGAACTTAGTAAGCACAGTGCATTTATTAAAACAGTAACAATCCAAGCCATTGAAATCCGCTATTTGAAAACTTGCAGTAATCTCATTTCTCTAGTCTTTCTACTTCTGAGTAATAGGAAAAGAGTTCTGGTCCATTAACTCGCCCACTCTCTCCTGGAGGAAGTTAACCAATTCAGCTAATACAAAGACATGAGTTTCATCCAGGTCCTGTATGATGAACTTCTTTCCCAATGCATTTGACTCATCCAAGTAGAGCAGAAACTGCTTCATTGCTGGGTCGCTGTAGAGACAAACACAAGTCAGATCCCACCTCATTGTAGTAAGACAGAGCTCAAAACCAAAAGAAAAGCCACGGTTCAAAGACACTGCCAAAGTTTGTTGTGAAATTAATATTAATTTCAAGATTTGCTTACAATTTAAAGTTTATGAAGCCTTTGGAAAAGTTGTTTCACGATAGTAATTACTTAATCGCGTGGTTACTTTAGAGATAAACAGATAAAGTCAAATGAGAAGAACTGGCTGCTTGATTAACAGACAGCGTCCCTAGGCTGATGTTAAAGTAGCTTAAACCAACAAACCAAACCAACACATAATAAGGCAAGTTTGAACTTGCATTATCTTCAGTAATAGAACCATAAAACCATGTTTTCTTAAAGCATATTTTTGTTTAAGAACAAATGAAACCCAGGTGAACACTGATCTCACTCAAAGTGGTACAGCATAGAGAAAAAATAGTAATGTATGTATCACTTATCACAGTGACCAAACATTACCAAAATAGTAATGTATGTATCACTTATCACAGTGACCAAAGTTTCTTCTTTTTTATGATGTTACCTTCTAAGTTAAATTTACGAGTTTAGAAGAAAACATTTTGGAAGCATGGATTTTAGAGGTAACTGGACAGCCCCATTATACTAAGAAGCTAGGTAGAGTGGTTTCTTGATCCACTGAAATTCTGAAGCATTCAGGCAGTATCATTTTGATACTCTTTTTTACAAAACAGGAAAAGCATGTTCTTTGGTAAAACTTCATATTTGATTGCAATAACTGGTGAAGAATATGTGCAAGAAATACAAGAAACTGGAATCAAGTAAACTCCAGACACTTCAAAATTAGGAACATAGTTGTTTTGGCAACACAGTAGTTCTTAAGAAGCATTCTTAATAACATTAAAATCTTCAAAGAACTCCTCTTCAAATCTTTTCTTTTAAACCTAATAGAAGGACCAATTCTCCCTTACCTAAAAGTATATATGGTGCAAACACATGCACTGTAAGACCAAACCTTTCCCTTGCCCTCTACCCAGCAACTCAAAACCCAACCTTTAACGTAAGCCTCAAACCTGCAGAAGTATGACTAGAGTAAGATGAGTTTTCAAAGTACAAAATAATTCTGAGGAAAGGAGAATGGGAAAGTTGGGAAGCTATATGTGCTTTAGAAGAGTCATTTAGGTACTCTGGTAGTTAAGATGAGAAACTAAAGAATTGAGAAAAATCAGATACCAGAAGTATGTGATTCTCAGCATTCTTCTACATGCCCCTTTGGATGCATGCAAGGAGGTTTATTTTTTGCTTGTTTCATTCTGCTGTACTTCAGTGACTCACATTTGTAGTACTAGTTTTTGTCCTAGCTGGTATGTCCTAGCTAGGCAGTATCCAGAGACTGGTTTTCACACAATCACCGTACAGAACTGTAATCGGTGCCAGCAGGTCTATGTCACAGCAGAAACACTGATCTCATTACAGTACTTGAAGATTATAATCCTTGATATGGTGCCTTCAGAAAAGCACCAACATGGAAAAAAAGACCTGCACAACATTTCACTATTTTATTTTCATGATTTACACATTCAAAAGTGGGTTTTTCTTTTCACTGCCTGTCTATTTGGTATCTTAAATATCCTCAGAAAACTGGGTTGTAAAAAACTTGTGTCTGAAGTGTAAAGAAGGGGACACGTTTATAGTAATTCTGCATCTTCTCCCTGGATGAAATTTTGAGCCAAATCATCGGCTACCCTTATGCAAAGGTGGAGAGAAAAACAAACAAACAAAACCAACCCAAAGGTCAATTTCCCAGGGAGCTGTTGAAAACATCTGAAAGCATATCAAATGCTATAGATTTGATTTATTATCAGACAGAATGATTAAGTTCCATGCTAATACTAAGTGGTACATGGCCATGGAGCTGAATAAAAACACACATCTTCAGGTATGTGTAAAATAAACACATAAGGTACAAAATAAAACATTTTGATAACATCTTGAGACTTTAGAACTTCTTGCCTTGTCAATCAAGAATTCTACTCTGGGCATCTTTACATAGGCAACTGTAGGTAGGCAATTTTTTGTGCTTCAGAAGGTTTATTAATGTACTAACATGAAGCTAAACTTGAGAAGACAAGCTTTTTCTTATAGCAGAGTTCTGAACTGCTTACACATAGCCATTAGACATCCAGACTTCAGCGGGCTAAGGTGAAGTCAGCTCAGAAGATAGCTGCTGCAAGATCACAGCTATATGCAGGCAGATCACAAGAGGTTCAAGGTTCTTCTGCTTTTGTGCAGTTGCAAATGTGCAGCAGAAATCTTATATGTTATATAATGCTATACAATGACCCCACAAATCCTGACTTATGCTTCTTTCTACTTTGAAGGTAACCAGTTATCCAATTCTTAGTCTTGTGACTTCAGAATGTATGAAAACATGTTTACTGCATGTACATCGAAAGCTTACTTTCACAAACTCAAAGCATATTTCTTTTTGAGTATGGTCTACAGAGCCCCATGTCAGCCTTGTTGGAATCTGAACTGGAGTTGATGAAAAAAGACAGGAAAGAAAGGATAAAAATTATCCCACCTCCCTCTAGAGCCAGTACAGAAACACACTGCTCATAAACAGCAACAAAACCCCCCAAACATTATTTGTAAGCAATATAATGAACAAAAGGGTACATCTAATGGTTAAGCACAAATGGAAAACAGTATTTTAGGAAAAAAAAAGTTTCGAATTAGGATTACCTACAACTAACTGCCTCTCCTTCTTCCCCCAAAGGTCACACTTTTCTCATGTCTGCTTACTCAGCATCACCCCTGCTCAGCACAACTCCTTTTTTTGGGTCTAGATTCTTAAGTTACATAGAATATTTCCAGCTCTAAAGAAATAAATAGACTTTGACACAACGAGAAGCAGTAAATGCTGTTACTAACCATTCAACCAGCACACCCTTCAGAACATTCACCATCTTCTCAGTTTTCTCACAAACGCTGATAGGAAGAGGCGAAAAGAACAACTCTTGCTTTGGATACACACGTAAACACGAGTAAATCTGAAAGAAAAGGAAACAACACCTTGGCTGAACTCGGCGACCCTTCACAAGTCACCTCCCCAGGACCTGCGTTGCACAGCGACCAGGGCGAGCGGCGGGGGCCTGCAGTGGCGCGCAGGGACAGGCCTTGGGTACCGGGCACAACTCAGGCAGGGCACTGGGCTGGGAAAATCAAAGGCCTTCCCCTTAGGAGCAATCCGGGCACTGCTG